GATTTTGGTAAAACCTTGAATTTTGGGATTGAAGGATTATGTTGGATTTTCAAAATTGCATGTTTGATTGTTGGATTTCAAAATGGACTTTACTATCTTGGATTTATGGGGTTAATGATGAGTTTACTTTCTTATCCTTCTTCCTATCATCATAAAGTATTTTTTTTTTGTTAAGGATACTTTGGTCATTCATAGTTAGTGGGGCCCACGGACTATGGCACTTCTCAAAATCTTACCTCATGAGGTGGGATTTTATAATCCGTGGGGTCCATGGATTTTGAGCAAAAGAATATCCCACATTTGTGGGCTCCACGGATTTAGGCCAACTTTATTTTTATCAACAAATATGGATTTGGACCATAATCCAACACATATGAGATTTTGAGGCAAAATCCCTCATCAAAATCCTACAAGCAAACGACCTCAGCCACATCGTAAGAATTATTTTGGAGAAATATGTACAGAGCATTATAATCTTAGGCAATTAATTGCTTCTTATTTTGTTCTTATGTAGATCTTGCAGATGCATGGTTTGGGTGCTTGAAAGGAAATAGTTTCATGGCTATTACTGCATAACCAAAACTAAAAGAGTGAAGGTTACATCTAGGGTGCTACGAATATTGTTCACAAAGATCGGGTTTACATAGAAGAAAACAAGAAGGCAATGCGTGAACAAATGCTTTGAGTAAAGAAGCTCACGTGATGCTCATAGCTGCAAAATCTTTGATTTCACGTGGGATGTGACACACACGATGTTACTGCTGTGCTTTGCATCTTTGTTTTGTAGACTAAATGGGCGGCAACACATGGAAGAACCCGCAATCACAAAGGGCTTAGTTTTTTGCCAATTAATTGTTGATACAGAGGGTTGCAAGGCCGGAAAGCTTGCGACACTTTTAGAGAGAACTATTTCTATTGTCGTATTTGGCTACACTTCGGTTTAGTTAGACCTGTTTTATTTTAGAGGATGTTTGTGATACTTTTAGCTGATTGCAGTAGCGGCTTGTGGTTGTGATTGGAGCAGGGACGATGCATGATCAATCGATTGGGGCGGTGGTCGGAATAGCTGCCGTCATGAAAATTTCTTGTCAGGCAGATCTTGTCTACAATTTCTCACATTCATTATTGGTGATGATTTCGTTTTTCGCATTAGAAATACTAAATATTACTGACGAATAAAAAATTAGCATAAGAAAAAATGTTTATTATTGGCGATAAAAATATGTTTGTAACAAAATTATATTTGACGCCATAAACAATTCGTCAGTACTATTTGGCCAGACAAAATCTTGTTAGTGACGCACCAAAAAGGCATTGGAAATATTGAGAATTAGCGACGATAATACATAGTCACCGGTAATATATCGTCAGAAAAAATGGACATTTTTATTATAAAATTAATTACCGTCAACATGCTTTTTCGTCAAAAGAAATTATTGGGAGGCATTTATGAAAATTGCAAATTTAGAAATATCCCGATCTACAAGCATGAAATTTTCTTAGAAATGATTGAATCGATAAAAAGACACATTTTCTTTAAGTTTTATAATAAGCAATGCTTCATAAAAATAGAAATTAAGTAATATATCCCGATCTACAAACATGACAAAATTAGTCCTAATCTTTAAACCCTGCTCTAGTCCAGTTTATGATATCATCTCTCTCATTTTGGAGAACCACAAGATCATCAGTTAAAATATTGACTTCTTGATAAGCTTTTTCTAATTCTGCTTCTCCTTCTCCTTCTGCATTAGAAGGAATCTAAAACAAATTTCTTGGTCTTGTTTCAACCACAATTTCTCAATTTGGATCTCTCAAAGACTACACATAATAAACTTGAATTGCTTGACTAGCTAGAACAAATGACTCATCTGTTCTAAGCCTTCGCATTGTGTTGATGGTAATAGTGTCCAGTCCATCCTTCTATTAACCAACAGCTTCGCGAGCGGTGTCATACCACTCACACTGAAATAGTACAACGCAGTTCCCTTCAGTATAATGAAGCTCAATGATATCGATAAGAACGCCATACTAAGGAATTCCACCATCGTTCTCCCCTCTCACCATCACACCACTGTTCTAACTGCTTTTGGTTAACTCTCGATTTCGAGTGTGAAATCCGAATCCATTGATACAATAGATTGTGTAGTGCAAGACTCGTTTGTCTGGCTCTAGAGCTAAGGATAACAAAGAAGGATTCAAACCTGCCACTTTATCATTGGGCATTCGTGTAATTTGCATTAATTGTAAGGATAAAATTAACATTAGCTTTCAATAAAATTTTTTATATAAAATTTATTAATAATATATGACATACCTCTAATAAGAACCACTTAGCAAATTCTTGCTTATGCACTGTTTGACCATAAGAACACCTCGAGTACTTAGCTGTTCCTTTTGAGTTCTGTAGTTTACGTTGTAGAATATATGTCATTAATAAATTTCTATAGTATATAATTCTCCATTTGAATAAAAAATATATCATAGCATACAATAAATAAAAAATTGCTATATATATGTACCTTATGAAATCTTGCACCTCATCACAGTTTTGTAGAACATAAAAAGTTGTCGCCTTCCACAAAGCAGTATTGAAGTCTCTAATGTCGTCCTTTACACCAATGGCACGACTGACACCCGGAACAACTGATAATTCATGAGGTTGTGAAGACGATGCAGGTTTATCTTCTTTTCTCTCTGGCCGATTAAATATCATATCCATTACAGCCAAATATTGCGAGCAAAATGTGACACATTCGTCGACAATGTAAGCTTCAACGATTGATCCCTCTGGACATGCCTTGTTACGAACATAACCTTTTAACTTCTTTAGATACCTAAATTGTTTAAAAGCTTGTCAACTTAACTTCATCAAGTTCCTAAATTGTTAGTATATATAAGCAAAATAGTATAATTATATCATACCTTTCAATAGGAAACATCCATCAATAATGAACTAGGCCAACAACTTTGGCCTCCCAAGGCAAATGGATGGGCAAGTGGATTATGACATTTTGAGACTAGGATTATGACATTTTGAGACTCCAAGATATTCAAATCTTCCACGTTTAGCTCCTTGGAACATATGTCCTTGAAAAATTAGCTAAACTCGATAAATGTATCCGATATGAACCTTCGAAAATAAGTCATAGGCTACCAACGATAATAACCTCTCCAAGAACACATGACAGTCATGAGTTTTCTTCATATATATCTTTCGATCATGAACATTGACACAACGTGCCGAAAGTTATTATTTCTAATGAGAGAAGTTGATTTGATACCTCTTGAGATGATAATCGATCAGTGCAACTCTTTTCTCCACCTTCCCTTCAAATTCCTTCTTCTGCTTTAGCCATTTTTTGTAAGATGGCAAAAAATGGCGATGATCCATATAAAATTCCTCGTGTCCATTATTCAACCTTAAATGTGATACGTTGCCTGTGCATGATGGACATTCCGATTTGCCTTTTGTAGTCCAATCGGAAAGTTGACCATATGCCGGAAAATCGTTGATAGTCCACAACACTGTAACTTTCATGTTGAAGTTCACTTGCATGAATGCATCATAAATCATAATTCCATCACTCCACAATGCCTTCTAATCATCAATAAGGGCTTGTAGATAGACATCAATATTATTGCTTAGGCTTTTCGGACCAGGAATGAGTAATGTCAATAACAGATAAGGACTTTTCATGCATAACCACTGTGGAAGATGGTATAGGAATAGAATAACTGACCATGTACTATGCTTGTTATTTATGTTGATAAATGGATTGAATCCATCCTTTGCTAATCCCAACTGACGTTGCGAGAGTTCGAAGCAAAAGAAGCATCAAACTGGTCCAAATCTCTCCAAGCTTCACTGTCAGCAGGATGCCTTAGTTTGCCATCTTTGACGCGTTGTTCGGCATGTCACACCATATCTTATGCAGTTTTCCGCGACATGAATAATCTTCGTAATCGTGGCTTTATGGGAAAATATCTTAGTATTTTGTAGGGAACCTTTGTCACTCTCCCCCTTCTGTCCTTAATGATTTTCTTGTACCTTGGTTTCTGGTAGGAAGGACATGGTGTTTCTCTTTTGAGCTCTCAGTAATAAATGACATAGTCATTTTCACAAGCATCTATTTCTTCATAGTGGAGCCCAAGGCCACTCAAAATCTTCTTTGCTTGATAGTAGTTCTTTGGCATTGATGACTGTGCCATAGGGAAAGCAGAGTGAAGAAACTTTAACAATTGCGTAAAAGAAGTATTACTCCAAGAATTGAGCCACTTCAAATGCATCATCTTCACCAGGAATGTTAGGCTATAGAGCTTTTCATCACACCCTTCGTACAATGGTGTTTCAACTTCTTTGACCAGTTTGAAAAGGTCTATGCTTCCACATTGGGATTCTCGGGCTCAGGATCCAAATGCGGTCTCAAATCATTTAGTAACTCTTGCATGTCATCTACATCCATCTCGTTATCCTCATCTCCCGTATCCTCGTCTTCAGAATAATCATCTTCATCTTTCTCTCCATTGTAAATCCACTTAGTGTAATCACACAACATTCCTCGTCGTAGAAGATGTTGCTCAACTTATCGTTTTTCCCTTCTTACAATATTACAACAATCCGCACAAGAACACCATATCTATTGTCTTCGTCTTGAATATTATCAAATGCGAACAAAACGAAATTTTGAACGCCATTCGCATACGCCATATATGATCTATTACAAAGCCGCATCCATGATTTATAAACACCTACCATTATACCTACAAAAATGTACCATATATCACATTTCAATTAAAGTTAAAATTAAAACTAAATATGAAACCTATTGAGAAAAATTGTATCATATTTTTCTTATCAATTAAACTGAAAATACTTACTAACCATCAAACACTAATTTATGCTTTTATTTTATATCAATTTGGCTCACTCTATCTTCTCTCGCAAAAAATAAAAAAGTCACTCTATCTTCTAATCAAACGTCATCTCACCTGCGCTCCGCTTCGCTCATAAGGCGGTTTCAAGACCTAAGTTACTCTAGTGGACGGAAGATTGGGGAGCGCGGAGGACAAGATGTCTCGACTTTCGATTGCTACAGAGGTTAGAGAAATGGGACGCGCAGAGGAGACGACACAACCGTTGCCGGTTGCTTAGATTTGCGGGAGGTCTGAGCCACGCAGGCGAGGCGACGCGGCGACCGCCTAATCCTCTGGTGGGTGGGGTTTCACAACGAATGCTGGTATGAGAGAGAAGAACGACGACAAATAGGCTAATTTCACTCGCCGAAATCTGGGTTCTTTTTTCCCCTCTCCTTTTGATTAGATTCGTAGACCCATTTCACTTGAGATGTTATGCATTTAAAAGGAGGTTCTCTGATTTCTCCAATTGCAGGTCTCAATCAACATGCATACACCCTAACATTAGCTTGGATCTCTCTAAGATTGGGTACGAATCAGACATCCAGGTAATTAATCTTTATTTTTTCACATTCATGAATAGATGGGGATTCTGTTCGGGTGCCTAAATGTTGATTACTTTGTTCGGGTGTCAATTACTTTGTTATGTTGCAAACGAATTTGACTAATTTTGCTTTCGTTTATCACTAGTTCTTTCTCTTTGAATACTGAAACGACCATTCATGCACCCAACAATGCATTCCCCTGCCTTTGCTCATTGTTTAGAAAGATGATTTTTAAAGGTTAATTGCATAGCCTAACCAATCCTCTAAACTAAAAATTAATTGCAAAAAATAATTAAGTATTATGAGCTAAATATTAAAATGAGGTGTTGATATATCTCCAACAAAATTTATTAAAAAAAAACAAACATGTCCTTAATTTGATGTCTCTTCTTTTGCCTAAAAAAAGGCGGGATTGTTTACTTCGTTTCCCACCACAATAACTACATCTAATGCTTTACATCCATTATTAAACCCTTCTCTCTAGATTCAAGATTCTCTAGATTCAAGATTCACCACAGGCAGAGACAAAGAAACCCAAAAGTCTATTCCTTTCCTTTTTCTTCTCTGCCATTCTTCTTCCCTCATTGATGACATCTTCTTTGACTAGATGGAAAGCAAAAGAAACACATCCGTTCTCATAGAGCAGATTCTACACCTCGTGAAGGAGAGCAGAGTAACTCTCTGCCTCCTGTTCTAGACCGTCATCAAGAGGGATAAGAAGGCAGGAAAACCACTCCAGTTCATGTTACTGAAACTCAGAGAACGGAAGAACGAACCCCTATTTCGCTTGTCGAAGAAGAATCAGAGCCGGATGATTATAATGCCCATCACTCAACTGCGGATCCTTTGTCTGAGGGTTCAAGTTCGAACGGTGAGACTTCTTCTGTCGTTGTATGTTTAGTTTTTTGTTACAAAGTATAAAAATGAGCTAACATGTGCTAGTTGTAATAGGTACCAAAAAGAGAAGAAGATGAGGTCCAGGAAAAGAAGTCAAACCTTGTCACAACCTCACCGTGGAATTCCACGACAACAGGTCAGTTAGATTATGTGATAATTCTAACCCAACAAACCACTTTTCCAGTAGCATTAGTTGCCCATAGGAAAAAAGATTAAGAAGATTGCTCTAGAGTATGAGTTTAGTTACTTGGATGCGCCTTATTTGTGTACTACTGTCTGTTTCTTTATTGAGGTTGTAATTATCATCACAATCTGTAAAATTTTAATTATTCTTAATGGCCTCTGTAGGATAATCACCACTAAAGCAGGTCGCGAGATATTAACCATATTCAAAAGGAGCATCACTAGGCCTTGGATAATATTCTCAGAGTATCCGGCTTAAGAGATGCAGACTCTGAAAGCTTGTTTCAAGGAGTCAGGATTTGCGTACACCGGTTCAGAAGAAATGCTCAACCAAATGGTCAAAGAAAACGTGAAGAGAAACTATCCCCAGTGGACGTATGGTATCCGAAACCCGATATTCAGGAAGTACAAAGACCTGAATGGTAGGCTCAACCATCCACCACCCGAGATAACTCCATCAATCTAGAGGGAAATGGTCCATACATGGGCTAACCCGAATTGGGTGGTAAGTTCTGCCATTGCAATATGTACTTTTATAGTGATTTGTTTTGTGGTAACTTCAACTCCCTCCATTTGCAAAGTGAATTTATTGTTGGTTTAATTTATTGTGCAAGAAACAAGTGATAAGAATAAAGAGAATCGAGAGAAGAGTGAGCTTGCGGTTCAGCACATTTGGCCAAGTACAAACATGAGGCGGTAAGCTGCTGTATTTTGAACTGTTTATGTTATGCAAGGCCAATTCAAATCACTTTACATGTGTTTAATGCCACATTTTTGTATTAATTGTTTGTAGATAAAACGAACTGGAAAAGAACCTGATCCAATCGAAATGTTCCAGCTTTTCCATGCGAAGAAGGACAAAAATTGGGTTAGCTTAAAGGCAAAAGAGTTGCATGTAAGTTTCACACTGTTCGCTGTTGTTTGCATAAGTAGTTGCTATCTTTTCTATAGGGATGGTATGGTTATTTACCAAATGATTACTGTTTGTATAAGTTGTTGTCTTTTTTAGATCAATGCTAATGTTATTTACCATTTGATTAGAATGGTATGATAGAAGCCGAGGCTGCAAAGGTATCTCAAGGGGAAGATCTAAACAGATTCACCATCATTCAAGAAGTGAATGGAGCACAACACCCCAATCGTGTTGTATGGATTGGATATGGGGTGAGCTCGGTTGATGTCTTCAATCCCCCGTCGAGTCAGGGTTGCATCAAGTGTTGTCAGGAGGATCAAACGAAAGAAAGGGAACAAAATGATGAGAAAATGAAGAAGTTAGAGAATGAGATTGTAGAGGTAAGGAATGCGATCCCTCAAATCGTTGAAGTTGTGTTGCAAAAACTTGGAGTGCGGCTGCTAGAGTCATTCGACATGGTAACTTTTACTTAGCTATTTTCTTTTGGTTTCTACTCCTTTAACATTTTTCGTACTATGTAATATGGACATTTAACTTAATTAACTTGTTATATTCTCTTTAGGATATCAACACCAAAGCCAATAGGGAAGATGATCGAGTTGGTGAAACTCAAGACAATGATGAGACTGGTGTTGCATGAATTTCTTTTAATGTTATCGTAGGATTCTAAGTATGGTGTCAATTTTGGGATATTTCGTGTCATTTTCGGATGACGTTAAGAATTTTGAATTTTGGATGTTTGGTCGCAGCTAATGGGCACTTGTAAGACATTTTATTTAAGTCAATTTTGGAATATCATCTATGCATAATCTCGGTTTCATGATTTTTCGGTTGGTGAAAACAATACTAATAGCATCCACATTGGTTCAATTGTAAAAGCAATTGCATTTGTGGTTTTTTTTTTACACAACACCATTTTTGCAATCCAACTCACTTTACTTTCATTGTACCTACATCAATGCAATCAACTTGGAATTGCATATGAGACCTAATTTATTTCTTTAATAAATAAAATTTTTTATAAATATCTTTTTATCCTTATTGCAAGTAAATAAAATAATTTATTTTAATTTAAACGAAATTCTATACAATTAATAAATAAATTTTTATTACTAATTTATGAAGACATAAGCCTTGAGGATGGACTAGAAAGAATCTAGTACTCAATAATTATTCCTAAAATCAAAATAAAATGCTAGAACTACCATAATATTCAAATAGAACACATAAATAAAGTCGACAACTTATATCTAAAAATTTAAATAGAACAATATATAGAAAAAAATGTAAATTAAACATCATTTTCCTCATCTCCAAACCGAGATCATATCTCTTCTATCAAATCAGATTGAAGTTGATTATATGTAGACCGATTACAAATTCTTGTATGATTACGAAGATACTCTTGATACTCCAGGAGATGATTATCTGAAACTACAGGCATAGAGACACTAAAGTTGACGTTATTATCTGTATAATGAAATTGCCGAATGTATGATTGACGCTCATCTTCCACTATCATATTGTGCATAATTATGCATGCTCTTATTATTTCTCCGATTGTATCGTTAGAACACATGCGTGATGGACCATTAATTATTGCAAGTCGTGCTTAGAGCACCCCAAATGTTCTCTCAACATCTTTTCTAGCGGCCTCTTGCTTCTTAGTGAACAATTTGTGCTTCGGTCCTTTGGGTAATGGGATTGACTTGATGAATGTGGCCAAATGGGATAAATATCATCAGTGAGAGAATATCTCAAATTATAATTTCGTCCATTAACATAATAGGAAATTGTGGGTGCTTTTCCTTCTAACACCTCATGCAATGTTGGGGACCGATCTAACACATTTATGTAATTTAATGTACCTCGGACTCCAAAAAAAGCATGCTATAGCCACAAATCTTGTCAAGCATAATGGTCGCAGTTTTATGATCCCCTCTAGCATATTGCCCACGTCATGCTTCCGGGCAATTTTTCCATTCCCCATGCATGCAATCGATGCTCCCTAACATACTTGGAAAACCTCTTTGTTGCCCCTCATGAAGCAAGCGTTTCGATATCAGCAGTATTTGGCCTCCGTAAATACACGTCTCCAAATGCATCATTGACAATTCATACATATCTTTTCACACAAGTTGTCGTAGTGGTCTCACCAATTCGCAAATACTCACCAATGGTGTCTGCAACCACATTATATGTTAGCATTAGCATTGCTGATGTGCACTTTTGAAGGGGCGATAGGCTATCTCTTCCCGTGCAATCAGGAGTGCTTTGAAAGTATGGATCTTTGTTCTTGACAGCTTCAACTATGCAGAGAAATAAGCTCCTTCGTATACGAAATCTTCGACTAAATGTTTCTTTGGGGAATGTCGGATTCTCCGCAAAATAATCATCGTACACTCGTTGGTGTCCATTTTCACTGTCCCTTTCAATGTACCTTCTTAGTCTTCTTTCACAAGTTGATGAATAGACATCATGCACTAATTCCACATATTCATCCACCATTTTTACATAGAATCATCAAGAAACCATTACATAATGTTCTCATCAAAGAATGGGTTATTGGGATCCGAATCTAAAGAATTTGAGGAAGATGAAGGCGAAGAAGAAGAAGATGATGTTGACAAGTACATGTGTAGATCGTCAATTTTGTGAGGATAAGAAGTTGCGTACCAATGCTTGTATTTAATACCGCAGATATAAAAAAAGATATATGACAAGGTAAAAATAAAAGGTGGGAAAGGTGTGAATATTTCTACTAATGAGCTTTAAGTTAGTTGAAAAATGCATGGTGATGACGTCGGTGTTAATTCAGGGGAGAGAGATGAGATACGGTAAAAAGATGTAGAATGTAAATTGGAGGGCTTCTTTAAAATTATGTTCATAATTTGTTGACTGATTTGCGGGCAACAAAGTAGGATTGTTAGTATAAATGCTCTCATTTTAGTATTATGCATTTTAAAAAATTATAGTTTTGGACTAGATTTTAGCCTATAAAGGGGCATGGTGGGTGATGTCGGTGTTTATTTCACAGATACAAATGGAATAAAATTGAAAGATAAGTATTTAAGTTGTAGAGCGTATATTGGAATTTTTTAAAGTTGTAGAGCGTATATTGGAAAATAGAGTTTGTTAATGGTGATATTTGTTTCATGGTTTGTAGGCAACAAAATATTTTTCTTGGTATAGATAATCAACTTGCCGTTGTATGAAGTTGTACGTATTAATGAAATTTTTATAAATAGGAATCTAAAGTTTCTCATGGCTCCACCACATCCCACTTTGTTTCCTTTCGTCAATTATATTTGTTCTCGTGGATTAATCCCGCCTCTTTTCAATCCATATTTATATTTCTATCCTGGGTCATCTCCATACAGTGCCGGACCTAGTAAAGCGCAGGGTGTGTCGTCCGACACACCTTAAATAATTATGAGCGACACACCATCATTATATGAGAATGATTTCTTGTTATAAAGTTATTTATCTTAATTATTAATACACAATAATAAGTAAATTCAAATAAGTTTCAAAGTTATTTATGCTTGTTTTAGAGTAACCCACACCACAACCTAGGGATGGCAATATGGCGGGTTTGCCTAAACCAACCTCATCCCCATTTCCAAATATTCAAACTCACACTCGTCTCATACCCATGCAGTGGAAGGTCTTACAAACTCATCCCCATACCCGCGGTTTTCGGATACCCATGGGTAATATCGCCCCAACAACTACTCACCATTAATAAAAGAATATGGTGATAAATATGGATACTACCCACCCAAAATTATGAAACTAATACATAAGAGGATGAAATTACGCTTTGGTTGTCATCAATTACATTTTAACACTTTATTTTTTCTTTTAATTACCCTTCATTCGATTGACAAGTTACAATACACTCCTTATATTTTATGTATATAACATAATATCCTTAGCGGGCGGGTTTGGGTATGGGTATGGGTATGGGGCGTGAGAGTCAAAAACCATACCCGCCCCATACCCATCAACCTTTTTGAGGGTTGTATCCATACCCGCCCCATACCTAGTCAACGTAAGGATTCCCAAGTTGACTGGGCCGGAGGAGGTCGGGTACCCGCGACCATGAGTTTGGTTGTCATCCCTACCACAACCCAACAATGGAAAAAATAAACATAACCCCATCCTTTGAAACTCACCGTTTCCACCCCTTGACCCATCCTTTATTGAAAATAAAAAACTTACCCTTACCCCGTTTTAGTTTCTAATTACTGAGAGCCACTACCACATCTCCCTTTTCATTTACCCTTTAGTTTTACTTGCTTTTGGAAGTTGGTGTTGACTTTACATGTTTCAATTGAAAGTTGCGAAAGATTCAGCTATGAAGATAATCAAGAATGAACTTTGAAATCGGTTGAGTGACCAATTTATGAATCATTGTTTAGTTGTGTATATCGAAAAGGATTTGCTTCGCAACATAAGCAATGAATGTATTTATAGACATTTCTAGTAAACATGAACGTTATGAATTAATTTCTATTAATTTCTTAATAATTTTTTTAATTAATTTTTTAATTATTATATTATTTTATCGGCGACACACCTCTCCGGCGATTCCGGGTCCGCCACTGTCTCCATATATGTTTAATGATGATACACAAGATGCTCAGCCTCATGTAAGTCTATTCACAAATTCTCATATGTACTCCTCATTTTTTCAAATGCAGGTAGTTTCTCAATGCCCATGTTTCCAAATCCAAATTTCCAATATCCTAAAAAAAATTATGTGTTATATAATTTCTAATATTTTCATTAATTTTTGTGCATTTTTAAATTTGGAGTATACTATGGCAATGAACATTAAATAAAAGAATAAGTTAATATTTTCAAAAATTCAATAGATTTAAAGTTTCGCGCAAATAAAAATATAATTTGGGTCATAGTTAGTAAATACTCTGTTCAATACACGTATAAATGGTTATACGTATTTTATTTGTTTCAAATTCTTGTATACGTACCCATATTTGTTTCGCACAAGTCTTTTTTGTAGTGTTAGCGGGAAACTTTGTTTAAATATTCATAATAAAATACTTTGAAATTCACATAACAAAATTATTGAAACTTGCATTAGCGGTAGTCATAAACATATTTAATAAATGCGCATCAAGTCTCGAGTCCTACTAAATACACGAGATTGGAGTCTTTGCACTATAGTCCTCTAGGGCCATTGATCCTTGTCACGAACTGCTGAACTTCTAAGCATTATCCGGAGTTTCGCCCATCCTGAATGCGGCGATGGGGTCAATCATAATCCTACTTTTGTTATCATACACAAATAGATAGCCATGCACATGCAATGCTTTAGGTATATATTATTGGGAGTACTTGAACTTATAATTCTTGTTTACTTTCTGAGCATCTTGCATAATTCGTCTTACAATGTGGCCTAGACCTCGACTTAACTAGCACACTACCATGATCGCCAACTTACTTATAACATGGTTTCCTCACATGGGAAACAAGGTATCGCAAGATCTACATGGTTGTGGGGGCACCAACCTCCTTACAATCCAGGGGCGGGGATCCATACACAAAATAATCCTTCACTATGGGAAGTGAGGTGATCGTGTGTAGCGAGCTAAGCGAGGTTTAATTTTTTCCTGACTTACTAACTCGATACCTCAAACATACTTGCTTGATCAATCTCTCACACGATGGAGAGACATACTTAAGCTTATCCTGCTTACTTAACTTGAGAAGTTTAATTGAGATTACTTATGGTGATCTCCCACGCAATGGGAAGATCTAAACTTATTAACTTGCACTTGACTAGTTTAGAATTGAACTTATA